AAAATTAATATTTTTTAGATCTCAGTAAAGTTTCATAGGCCAGAAAGTCTAGGCAGGAAAGCACAGTGGTGCTGGAGCTGGAGGTGGGGGTGGGAGCCCAGGACTGGACCACGCCTCTGCTCCTCCCCATCTTCTAATTCTGTATCTCCTCCTGTCCATTGATTAAAACCAAACCAAACCAGCTGCTATCAAGTCAGCTCCAACTCATGGTGACCCCATATGTGTCAGAGTAGAACTGTGCTCCATAGGATTTTCGATAAATGTATTTTTGGAAATAGCTTGCCAGGCCTCTTCTCCAAGGCACCTCTGCGTGGATTCGAACCTCCAACCTTTTGGTTAGCAACTGAACATGTTGGTAACCATTTGCACCACCCAGGGACATGATCAATTTATTGACAGCATTTTCTTTGGTAGTGGGAGGGAACATAACTCTACGAATTGAAACCATTGGCATATATGGACTGAAAATGTATCTTAGAATTCAAGAAATATGATACTTTTAATTCTTAGAATTAAAGAAATACATGACTGTATGATTACTCATTGGATAAAAATATGGCAACACTAAGCCTACGTCTTGGATCGTTGTAGTGATCACATGAGATAATACATTGTACAGCTGTGGCTGGCGTGGTGCTGGCGCACAGTAGGTACTGAGTGAATGTCTGCTGGGATTGTTAACACAGAATAGCTTTCCTGGGTGAATAGAGTCTTTATACTCTTCCTAATCAAATCTAACATTCACTAAGTACTTATTGGATACCTACTATACTTCTGGTATCCAGGGCTTATTTATTTTTCTGAGAATTAATGGTGAATTCCAAGATGTTTATGCTTGGAAGTCATTTGATAATCTGGGATGGGAGAACTGAATAATGCCTACTGGGTTACAAATAGTTACTAATGAGAGGTCTCTAAAAATCAAGGGTTCTATAAAAATCAATACGTATATTTTCAGAATAAGTATCCTGAGTTTACTAATGCAATTTTGTTCTTTTTCAGAATCTAGTTATCAAAGTGAAATAAGGTAAGTTTTAAGTCACATCAATTTTCTGAAAACAAAAATAAACACACACATACACAAAACAAAACAAAACAAACAAACAAACAAAAGAAAAAAAAACAAAAAACCCAAGGATCTTAGTATTTATGTTACTGAAAATGGAAAAGACTGAAAAATGTATATGTCAATCACAAACTCTTGGAGCAACATTAACTGGTCGAATAAACTAGGGGAGTTGCTACTGCCTTTGACTTGCCCTGCACTCACTTAGTAAAATGTGTCCGATTAGCCCTGGTGGCTCAGTGGTTAAGTGCTAGGCTCCTAACTGAAAGGTCTGTGGTTGGAATCCACCAGTGGCTCTGAGGGAAGCAGTCTGGTTCCATAAAGATTAAAACCAAAAAAAAAAAACCTGTTGTCATTGAGATTCCGACTCATATTGCCCCTATATGACGTAGTAGAACTGCCCCATAGGGTTTCCAAGGAGCAGCTAGCTGGTTGATTTGAACGGCCAACCTTTTGGTTAGCAGTCAAGCTCTTAACCACTGTGCCACCAGGGCTCCACCATAGCCTTGGAAATCCTATGGGGCAGTTCTACTCTGTACTAAAGGGTCTCTAGGAGTCAGAACTGACTTTATGGCAACGAGTTTGGTTTTCTGGTTTGTCTAGCATTTGCAACTTGTTCCACAAGAGGGCATTGTGCACCATGACTGCTATTCTTCCTGCTTTGAATTAAGGCTAGCAACTCAAGTACTGTTTCAAGGATGTTAAAAGAACCAGGCAGAGATCCTGTTGGAATTTCTGGGGCAGTGGAGAAGAATGAAACTAGCTGGATGCCTGGAAGGTACATGGAACTGACCAGGCTGACCCATTAGGTAGTATCACTGCTTGGACAACCAAGCTGGGGACTAAAAAAAATTCCTGTCATTCCCACCACCGTCCAGAAGTAGCTGCAAGCACTTTGAAGGTAACTACATCAAGGGCGTACAATCATATGCAATTGAAATGTCAATATTTTATTAGAGCTTTTTAAAGATTAGGGTTTTACAGAGACTGTGTCAGCCTGAGACCAGAAGAACTAGATGGTGCCCGGCTACCACCAATGACCGCCCTGACAGGGAACACAACAGAGAGTCCCTGATGGAGCAGGAGAAAGGTGGGGTGCAGAACTCAAATTCTATTAAGAAGACCAGACTTAATGGTCTGAGACGGGAGGAATCCCAGAAAGCATGGCCCCCGGAGTCTCTGTCAATGCAGAACTAAAACCATTCCCGAGGCCAACTCATCAGACAAAGATTAGACTGGACTATAGGACATAAAATGTTTTATGTAATAAGAATGTGCTTTTTAGCTCAAGCAGATACCTGAGACTAAATGGGCAGCTCCTGTCCAGAGACGAGATGAGAAGTCAGAGAGGGTCAGGAGCTGGTTGAATGGACATGGGAAATCTGGGGTGGAAAGGAAGAGTGTGCTGTCACAGTATAGGGAGAGCAACTAGGGTCACATAACAATGTATGTATAAATTTTTGTATGGGAGACTAACTTGAATTGTAAACTTTCACTTAAAGTACAACAATTAAAAAAATAATAAATGAAGATTGGGGTTTTAAAATACATTGCGAATGAGGATGTGTGCGGCCATCCTGTGGCAGACACTATTCATTTTCCCTGTGACCTCAGTTCCTCCCTGGTAATGATGTCCTCTGAGGACACCACGCAGCAGCAAAACCAAGCAATCTGAAAACACACCTCGTTTGAGGCCAGACTAGGGCAAGAGAAAACTGATGCTGATAATTATTCTGGTGTTTCTTTTGACTGCTGTCACTGGAAAGACCCCAGCCTGATCCTTGGGGTCCCCATTCTTGACTAAACCATCATCTTCCATTTCTGTTTTCTGGGATCAGAGGTGGTTTCACAGTGCAGTGATCAGCAGCTATTCAGGGTCATGGGTAGAGAGTAATGGTAATATATTGTGGTGGTCGTTTTTGTTAGCTGCCATTGAGTTGGCCCCAACTCATGACCACCCCCATGTGTTACAGAGTAGAACTGCTCCATAGGGTTTTCTTGGCTTTGTAGATGTTTTTTTATCTTATTTAATTCTCACAGTGATTTTATGAGGCTACTGTCCCATTTTGTAGATGGGGAAACTGAGAGGCACAGAGAAGATAAGTAACCTGCCCAGTAGCGCCCATCCAGAAAGTGGAAGGGTCAGAATGCAGTTGGGCAGCTCTGCTCCAGGGCCTGGGCCCTTCTCCATGTACAGCTCTAGCACTTAAACCAAAGAGTGAGGTAGGCCCCAGGGAGGTAAGACAAGATCAGCTCACTGGGTGAACATGTCCCACCTGCTTTGTCCTTCACTGCTTCCACGGCGCTAACTTCATCTGCTTACAGATATCCTTTGCATTAAAATAACAATTATATTTTCTTATAGAATCAATAAATGCTTATTGCATAGAAAAATTAAAAAATATAGTTTTAAAATCACCTATCATTCTATTGTACAGAAGTAATTATTGTTACATGTGCATATGTTCACATATATATACATACACAGGCACACATACATATTTTGTAAAATTTGAGTCATCGTACACATTATTTTATAGACTACTCTTTTCACTTGACACTTCTGAAGATTATTTTCTTTTGAATAATACTTGCCTACAACATTTTATTAAATAAAATTTTTTATTGAAGTGTAACATAAATACAGAGCCCTGGTGGCGCGTTGGTAAAGAGCTTGGCTGCCAACCAAAAGGTCGGCAGTTCAAATCTACCAACCACTCCTTGGAAATCCTATGGGGTAGTTCTACTCCGTCCTCTAGGGTCGCTGTGAGTTGGAATCAACTCGACGGCACTGAGTTTGGTTTTTGTTTTTGTTTTTTAACATAAATACAGAAAAGGCTACAAATCATAAGTGTCTAGCCTGATTAATTTTCACAAAGCACCTATGCCTGGGCATTGAATATCTAAATCAAGAGCAAGAACATCATCAGCACCCCAAAAGCCCCCTTCAGGCCCTCTTCAAATCACTACCTACACCTCCTCCCCAAAGGTAAATATTCTTCTGACATCTATCCCTCATAGCCCCACAGATTAGTTTTACATAAACTTTGTATAAATGGAACCCTTTAGTATGTACTCATTTCTGTCTGTCTTGAGCTTTCAATTGAAGATTCATCCAGATTGTTGAGTGTAGATATAGATTGTTTATATTCTGATTCTATATGCTATTATATTCTGTGCATGCACTGCAGTTTATCCATTTTGCTGGTGATGGACATTTGGATAGTATTCAGGCTGGGGCCATTACTGCTTTGAACACTCTAATACATGTCTTTTGGTGAACATATGTACTCATTCCTATTTGGTATTCTGGCTATATATCTAGTAGGGAAGGCTGGGTCATAGGGTAGGCATGTTTAGATTTAGACGATACTGCCACACAGTTTTCCGAAGTAGGTATACTAGTTTAGACTTCCACCAGCTTTTATAGCTGGTATGATATTCCATCTTAGAGATGTATCAATAGTTTCATTTTACCAGTCCTTTATTGCTGAACATGGAGTCCCTCAGTGGTATAAATGGTTAAGTGCTTGGCTATTAACAGAAAGGTTGGCAGTTCAAATCCACCTAGAAGTACCTTGGAAGAAAGGCCAGGAGACTTACTTCTGAAAGATCACAGCCTTGAAAATCTTATGGAGCACAGTTCTACTCCAAAACTCATGGGGGTGCCATGACTCGGAATCAACTCAACCACAACTTTCTTTTTTTTTTTTAATTGTTGGACACGTGGGTTGTTTGCAAGTTTTGATATAATAAATAACTTATGAATGGACATCCTTTCAAGTAAGTCTTTGCACATATCCTTGATTATTTCCCTATAATAAATTCTTAGAGGTTGAGTAGGAATATTTTTAATCCTTTGTATATTCATTGCCAAATTCCTTCCCCTAGGAAGATGCACCTTTTTTTTTTTTTTGCTTTATTTCAGGGGGTAGCGCAGTTTTTTCTATAGAGGGCCAGATAGTAAATATTTTTTGTTTTGATCAACCATATGGTCTCTCTCACAACTACTCAGTGCTGTTGTAACACGAAAGCAGCATGGACGTTATGAAAGCAAGTAGGTGAGGCTGTGTTCCAATAAAACTTTATTTAGAAAAACAGGCAGTGGGCTGGATTTGGATTCTGGGTAATAATTTGCCAACCCCTGCTTTATTTGGTCATTGGAGTCCATGGACTCTTATAAGAAAGTTCCTTCTCTCCCCACAATGGGAGTGTGATGGCTGGGATTTTCCATTCTGATGTTCATCATCTCCCAAGAAGCCAGCAACCAAGCTGTGGACTTAGGTCCTAAGTTCTATGTGTCAGGATGCTCTGAGCATAACTGTGAGCCAAATGCCCTTCGCTGATTAACATGTTACTTCTTAAAATGGTCTAATTCTAGGAAATCTGCGAGTGTGAAAACAAACAAAGAAATGGTTGAGACAAAGATAAAAAGTGGAAATGAAAACTACGGATACAGCTCAGACGAATCAAAGACCGCAAGTGAGTGGACATGTTGGGCAAGAGAATGACCTCAAAACAGCGTGTTGGAAGAGGGGCTGGTGAAACAAGATACCTGAGGGATTCGTGGTCATTGCTTTCTGGGTAATTTTTGGAAGAAGGAGAAATGTTAGGACTACGAATATTCTAGGAATATAATAACAGTAAAAATTCACCTATTTGCCTAAAGCTTAAAATAAAGTCAGGTGGAAATCTTAGAGTTTTAAAACATATTTATATTTTTTTTTTTTGTGCTTACTGTTTCTTCGTGAGCCAGTTTCTACCTTAGAGTGTCTGAGGAGACACCTTAATACCTTGGGAGTAACTTCCCCAGAACTACAAAGAGATTAGAATAAAATTGAAACTCAGCAAGAAATCTCCTCCTATTGAACTTTACAAGCCAGGTTTGAAAAGTCTTTTTGTAGGATCTCATTCCCAACCTTTATAGGATGTAGAGTCATAAGTGGGGGTGACGAGGGGTGTGTCTCTTGAAGGCAACGTGACTAGTAAGCCACAGCCTTTTTAGGGCTCGTGAGAAGGGAAAGCTGTCCAGATTACTCCTTAGCAGTCTGAAAGGAAGCCCGGCCCCCTTGTTAAAGTGTCATGGCAAAGCAAATTTCATGGAAGATTTTCAGCCGGTCAACCCTTGCTGGGTAGCCTGCAAAAAAAATTTTTTTTAAGCTAAGATTGAGAATCTATTCTCAGCAGCCTCATTCTTTTCATTTCACCATAGCTGCCTTCCATACGAGGTCAGCGGTGGTTCAGAGGTAGAGTTCTCACCTTTCATGTGGAAGACCGGGGTTCGAGTCCCCACCTCATGCGCAGCCACTACCTGTCTGTCAGTGGAGGCTTGCGCGTTGCTGTGATACTGAACAAGTTTCAGTGGACCTTCCAGAATAAGACAGACTAGGAAGAAAGGCCTGGCAATCTACTTCTGAAAATCAGCCAGTGAAAACCCTATGGATTGCAATGATCCAATCCTATTGTGCATGGGCTTATAAATTGGAGGCTGACCCCACAGTAGCTAGCAACAACAACAAGCCTCTCATGTATATTCCAAATAATATGCTTCAGATTTTAAAGAATTCCATAAAACACTGACTGTGTCCTTTGATAATCCGAACCCAACTTCTTAGAAATTTCCTGTGGGTGAATATGGATTCATTTGTATTTTGAGCAATTAATGAAGTAACTTGACAAAAATCTTGACCAAGACAAACCCCTGTTCCCCGCATTCTTAAACTTGCCCTGTGTTTATTTTCTTTGGTCAGCCATTAAACCTATGCATCCATCATGTGTTAAGATGAGACTTGGGGGTCCAGAAAAGACTTGATTTTGAGTCAGTTTGCCATATTTTTATTTCATTTAAATTAATAAAGTTCTAAAATTATGTACCCTTAAGGGTTTTTTTTTTTTAAATGTCTTTTTATAGTTAAGGATTATTTTAAGGCAAGGATGATAAATAAGAGCTAACAGATTTCTTTACAAATCAGAATTGTTAGAACACAGAGCTTGGTTTTTGTTGCTGTTATTCTAAAGTCATTCTTCTGTTACAGAAATTTCCTCTCTCCCTCCAAAGTCCCATGAGCTCAGTGTTCTGGAACAACACAACACCAGGTATCCTCATCAGGTGAGCTAGATAATTTTTTTTCCTTTTCTTGGCAATTTTTCGCTATTTAAAACTTTTATCTTGGTATACATACCGTAGCAGGGGCTGTGGAGTTGACCTGACTCATGGTGACCCTGCGTGTGTCAGAGTAGAACTGTCCTCCGTAGGGTTTTCAAAGGCTAATTTTTCAGAAGCAGATCACCAGGTCTTTCTTCTGAGGCATCTCTGGGTGGACTCGAACTTCTAACCTTTCAGTTAGCAGCCAAGTGCATTACCTGTTTGCATCTCCCAGGGGCTCCTAACCAGTTGCTGTTAAGTTAATGCTGACTCATGATGGGCCTGTGTTACAGAGTAGAACTGCTCCATAAGGCTTTCTTGGCTGTAATCTTTACAGAAGCAGATTGCCAGGACTTTCTTCTGCAGCACAACTGGGTGGGTTCGAACAGCCAACCTTTAGGTTAGTAGCTGATGGAAAACCACTTGTGCCACCCGGGGGCTTCTGGGGATTAGAAAATGGTGTATGTTTTATATTCAGGATGGAACAACCTTATCTTTGCTCATCTCCTATCGGCTGGTTGGCCTGGAGGGAATGGGGCTAAGACATGGAGTATCTCTTGCCCTTTGTACCAGTCACCAACTCTGCTATGTGCATGTCTGGGGAGGGCATGACTTGACTTGGGACATGCTCAGTCTGAATCACTATTCTAATAAGCAGCATTTATAGTTTGCCCTTTGTTCTTTTTGAGCCAATGTCTGCCACGACTTAGCATCAGCTCTCCGCTCTCCTGGTTCACCAGAGTCCACAGGATGGATGCTTATCTGTACTTGGGCCCTCAGGAACGTGGCTCATGGAAAGATGCTGGGTGTTGGGTCAGGAGCAGGACGGAGAAACTGTGGTTTGCTCTGTGTGCAAGATCGGTACCAGTTAGACTGAGAGCTGGAAACAGCCTGGGGGGATTGGAATTTTAGGGGAGAGAGTGGAGTCATGGATGACCAAGGAACATGGCTACACCACTGGAAGGCTAGGATTGCCATTAACTGAAATGGAGAATGTTGTGGGTGGAGCAGGTTTGGGGGGCAAACATCGGAAATTTAGTTTGAAGCTTGAATTTTGAGATATGGAGATTTCAAATGCTCAGTTCGATGCACCAGTCTGGAATTCTAGTGAGATGCAAGAGCTGTAGGTATTGTGGGTTGTTAAGCATCTATTTGAGGGACGTGGAATCCTGGTGGCCCAGTGGTTAAGAGATTGGCTGCTAACCAAAAGGTTGACAGTTTGAACCCACCAGCCACTCCTTGGAAACCCCATGGGGCAGTCCTACACTGTCCTATAGGGTTGCTCTAAGTTGGAATCGACAATGTCAATGGATTTGTTTGTTTTGGTCCTTCCAAAGGATGGTTAACTTAAAGTAAACAGTGGATTAGGAACTGTGAGAACATAGTCTAATAATTTTCTGATACAGTCAGCATTAATTGTCATACATGTATGAATTAGGGTTCATATGCAGAAAATGAGATTCTTTTATTTTCCAAAACATATTAGACTATATATATAAAACCAGCGCATCTGTGGTTCAGTGGTAGACTTCTCACCTTCCATGTAGGAGACCCGGGTTTGATTCTTCACCAGTGCACCTCACGTGCAGCCGCGCCCCGGCTGTCATTGGAGGCTTGTGTGTTGCTATGTTGCTAAACAGGTTTCAGTGGAGCTTCCAGACTAAGACAGACGAGGAAGAAAGGCCTGGGGAACTACTTGTGAAAATTAGCCACTGAAAACCCTGTGGATTACAGTGTTCTGATGTGCAACCAATCGTGGGGATGGCTCAGGACCCAGCAGCATCTTCTTCCATTGTGCGCAGGATTGCCACGAGTCAGGGGCCGACTTGACAACAGCTGACAACAGCAACTAGATATATATGTATATGTATAACCAGCAGCATTTTTCCTCTTTTGCTTATTCGAATTTACTTTTATTGGGGTTTTCTTCACAAATAGAAAGCATAGAAAAATTTTGGTTTATGAGTTTTCCAATTGCTTGCGATTTGACTGAACAGGAATTCTATGCAATTTTTACTATACAGGCAGTTGCGGGAGGGGGAAATACATTCATAATAGCGAAGAATTGGCAATTATGAAGGCTAAAGAAACAGTATGAAATACATAAAAGTTTGTAACTGGATTATCTACTTCATTATTCTAATTCTCACTATTGAAATCTAACAACCAGACTTTTGTTTCCTTTTTTATTGTGATTTAGATGAAGGTTTACAGAGCAAATTAGTTTCTCATTAAACAATTAATACACATATTGTTTTGTGATGTTGGTTGTCAACATTCTCCCCCTTTTGACCTTGGGTTCCTTGTTTCCATTTGTCCAGCTTTCCTGTCCCTTCCTGCTTTCTCGTCCTTGCCCCTGGGCTGGTGTGCCCATTTAGTCTCATATACATGGTTGAGCTACGTGTGTCGTTGTTTGTTTTACGGGCCTATCCAGTCTTTGGGTGAAGGAGTGACTTCAGTACTGAGATAAAAGGGTATCCAGGGGATATACTTCTGGGGTTTCTCCAGTCTCTGTCAGACCAGTAAGTCTGGTCTTTTTTTGTGTGAGTTAGAATTTGATTCTACGTTTTTCTCCAGCTCTGTCTGGGATCCTCTATTGTGATCCATGTCAGAGCAGACAGCGGTGGTACCCGCGCCCCATCTAGTTGTGATGGACTCAGTCTGGTGGAGGACGTGGTGGTTGTGGTCCATTAGTCCTTTGGACTAATCTTTCCCTTTTGGCTTTGGTTTTCTTCATTCTCCCTTGCCCGAGACGGGGTGAGACCAGTGGAGTATCTTAGATGGCTGCTCACAAGCTTTTAAGACCCCAGATGCTACTCACCAAGGTAGGATGTAGAAAATTTTCTTTATAAACTATGTTATGCCAGTTGAGCTAGATGTCCCCCGAGACCATGGTCCCCGGCCCTCAGCTCAGTAATTCGGTCCCTCAGGGAGTTTGGACGTGTCCATGGAGCTTCCACGACCTTCCCTTGGTCAAGTTGTTAACCAGCACCATTTTTCTGACCTCTACAAAAGCAACTTAAACAAGAAGTATTTCCTTCATGTAATTCTGCAAATAGTGTTCCCAATCAAATTGAATGTTCTCCTTTTTTAGCGTTTGGAAAAATCAGACTCACAGATGAGCTTTCCAGCAGGACACTGAATCAGACAGCCTTGGGTTTATTCTGCATCGAAGATGTTACTAGGCTGAGGTGGTGGTGCTGAGAATTACCTTTACAGGCCTCCAATCACTCTCTCAGCCGAGGTAGAAGGTATTTACTTGCATTTCCAGGCAGCTCTAGGCCATAATATTCTTCTCTGTGGTGGGGATTCAGCTTGATGCATACTTCTTGCCAGTGATGTGTGCCTTCCAGGCCTCTAGTGGGGAAGGGGCGCTTTGATTGATGCTCACCCATGTGTCGGCAGCAGCTAAATGGTGCTATCAGTGGCAACAGATACCGCCAGGTGGGAAGACATATGAGAGGTCTGTGCTACAAAAGAGGATGGTCTAAGTGACAAATGGTTGGCTCCTGGTAGGAGTTCAAGCTACTCTTCTCAGGGCTGGGTGTCAGGAAAATGGAGAGGTCAATTTCTTTCCATCAAGTCTGTTCTCTTTGGCACATACGTCTCTTGAATTTAATCTGGAGCTAGAAGGAATAATTGCCAGGCTGTAATTGTAGAAGGGTGTTGCATGTTATATGTCAGACCCTCATGCCTGGGCCTGGGGTGGGGCACAGGCTGAGGGAGGAAGACATCTGGCCAAGTGGCTGTCTCCCACACAGCGCCAAGCATGGACACCCAAGAGCACATGGAAACCAGCCATTGTCACCATGGCCTTTCTGTGGTTCCATGTTTCCACTGGACAAGCCAAAGTGTTCAGGTCTAGGGCTAGGCTGGGAAGAAATTCACAATAGGGTGGTGTCAGATGGTTCCCTTTGAAGTATAAATGAAGAAAAAGGGGAACTCTAGACGCGTCTGGATACAAGAGCGTAGGAGTTCTGAGTGATGCTTCTTAAAGCTTGAAGTGCTGTTTCGAACATACTCAGGGAGAGAAACTTAAGAACATGCAATGAACTAAATAATCTATTGGTGGAAAAAGAACAGTAGCCATGGAGGTGCTGAGCCCTGGGCCTGGCGTGCACACACCTGCGTGTATTTGAGTGTTTGCCCTCTCCGCTGCTGTGAATATTTCTGTACACCTGTGATCGTGGGCAGAACCCACATCCAGCGGGACTCCTGCCTAAGAAACTGCTGGTTAGAGCTGAAGGTCGTTGACTACAGATGATGTTATTTGGCAGAAAGCTGCACTAGGCGTGGGTCCTGCAAAGCCTGTAGATTAAACGGAGAGATCTCCAGCTGCCACAGCAAACGCTCTTCTCAGTCCCTGTCACGGTGGGGCTAGTTGGGTCAGATGAACGTCTTATCCACGGTGACAGGGCATCTACAACAGGAACAAGAAGCTCCTGCTTTGTGTCACTAGGTCTTAGAGCAGGATGATGTTGGTTTTGTAAACAGAATAGCAACTGGTGAACACATGTACTTTTTTCTGTTCAGTTGGCCGGCACTCTTATCTGCTTAACCTGGTGATGGGATTTACCTTCAGCATTTTCAGAAGGTCTAACTAACACATGGCCATTGCCTGCACACAGCCTACCAGCTGCTGTCAAGTTGACTTCAACTCATGGAAACACCATGTATGTCAGAGTAGAACTGTGTTCCACAGGGTTTTCAATGGCTGATTTTTCTCGAGTAGATCACCAGGCTTTTCTTCCAAGGAGCCTCTGGGTAGACTCTAACCTCCAGCCTTTTGTTTAGCAACCAAGCACTTAACCTTTTCCACCACCCAAGCACTCCATCCTCAGTCTAGCACAGAGTTACTACGTGCTTATTAAACACTTATTCATTGAAGCGGAGAACATCTTCAGTCCCCACAGTTATGCTGTGCAAGGAACGTGCTTGCATATGTGTAGGAAGAGATACAGCTA